TGGCCTGGTGCAGTGTTTTCTGAATAAGTATGCATGCTTCGGTGGCACAGCTCACAGGCCAGCTTGACGCCTGAGCTGGTTTGGTTTTAGATGAACCAAGAAAGGCCAGACTTCACCACAAGTCCAAGGCATGACGAGTTCAACATCACATTTCTTAAACTGTGTTCCACGGGTCCCTAGAGAGGTCCTGGGGACAAGGGAAGTGCAGCTCTTGGGCTCTTCCCCAAGGCCACACATTGAGATGGCTATGCAGCTTGCCAGGATGTGCCATACTGTGCCCAAACTCCCCTGGTGACTCTCAGGTCCACTCAGGATGCCAACTCTTGAGCTCAGTGGAGAAATCCAAGCACAAATGGTTAAGTAGTTCAGCAGTTTTTTCTCCCTCAAACAACTTGGGGCAGAGTTAAAATGAGATAATGCATCCAAATGGTTTCAGAAAAGATGTCATTCAAGCAAGGCTGGATGTGCTAAAAAACTGAAGGTTAGTTAAAATGTGCGTTTAGACAGAAAAATGAACTTTATTTTTTAAAAAATCAAATAACATCTAAATAAAGATCATAAAATATCAAGGTATATTTCAAATATCACAGTACAGCTTCTTTTTCTGGTTTTCTTACATTTTTGTACATAGTACATCAGTCAAAAATTGTAGATTAATATTTTAAATGCTGAGAAGCCAGCAGCTTGTTCCAGTCTCTGACTCAGTTAAGCTCTTACAATATTTTGACTGTTTCAAGAAAATTAATAATGGGATGTTAGGCAGTAGATTAACTGAAACTAAATATCAACATCGCTAAATTTATTTTTGGATGACTGAGCTCATTCCTCCAAAGAACAGAAACAGGATTCATTATATCATGAGTTATTAACTTAACAACACCAGCATAGCCCCCAGTGGAGCAGAGAGAGCCACGTGCATTTAGATTATGTAAGAGGCGAAAGTTTAGGTTATCACAGAAGCTGGGATTGGAAGGGTACTGGCTACAACTGATCACCTAAGGCTCAAAAGATACCAGAAGAAGTTAAGGCAATAACTGCCCTGTTGGTTTCAAGATCAGACTGTTATAAATGTCTTACTCCTGCTCTCCTGAGCAGCTAGAGAGCAGGGCTCCACTGCAGCCCATACTGAGAAGCTTTTATTTCGGCCATTCATGTCTTTATTCAGCAAGTACTTACTGGGTACCTATCTGTCCTCCTATCCCTCCTCTTACCCCATCTCATTTCCTCTGCATGTACTACCGGTGGGATAACTGTGAGGAAGATTCGAGCATGTGCTTCTTGGACTGTTCCTGTTTCTGATGGGCCTGAAACCCTGGTGCTTCTAGGCCAACAATGAAGAGCTGGTTTGGTTTTAGATGAAACAAACTGATCTCAGCTGCCTAAAATAGAAGCCTCAAAAAGTGTCATTTCCCTTGTTCTCCCCACTTCTTCTACATTCATTAGTAGACAGCCTTGGGCTCCCAAACTGCAGATGGTCAGGCACTCAGGGGCTCCGTGGCTGCATGGCAACAACTGCTCGTGAGGGAGGACACAGCACCCTGCCTTTTATTGGTGGTCCGCCTGGAGTGCAATGACTGTGCACTTCTTCCATGCAGACACCCAAGCATCCCAAGAGTCCCTGTACTCGCTCACCAGGAGACTTGACACTGCAGGGCAACCAGTGGAAGGTGCTACTGAGGAACCTAGGCCATTATTAGCAACCACTTATGGACCTCTGTGTACACCAGTGTGGGACAACACCCTTATTGCTTCACAACTCAGGTGACTCCTGGGAAAAAGCCATCCCACCAGCCACGTAAGGCTTGCACTGGCACCATGGCCTAGACCAAAGCTTAAAATGTTATCCTGGTGTGTGCACGAGAATGCTCACGTTGACCTTATTTAAAATGCAAAACTGGGAAGAACCCCCACATGCCCTGACCAGAGAAAGAATGAAGTGTGGGTGACACAGAATGGACTGCAAGGGAGCAACGAACACACAACCAGTCACAGGGTGGGTACATCTCAGAAACATCAGGCATAGCAGGAAACTATTTTTTAATGAAGCTTAAACTCAAGGACCCTTAGGGTATGTACGCAGGTAGCAAACCACATTTAGAATAGGAGAAGGAGGGTTCTTAGGAGGGAGGAGACCTCGGGCAGTAGAAAGGCAGATATCAGGGAGGAGCACACACTGCCACTCTTCTGCTTCTCAAATCAAGTGGTGGGCTCATGGGTTTGTTGGTGCTTTATAATTTACACAAACATTATATATACTTCTTTGTATCTAACAATTTGCACAGAAATTTTTTTAAGAAAAAATGACTTGCCTGGCACCATTCAAATTTTTCATGGCTCCAGCATGAGCTACACTCAGAATCAGGAGGACAGCATCCTGGAGGCTGGGCTGGGCAGGGTCCCAGCTGGGAGCAATAAGAGAGGATTGCCTCTGCTTTCCACCTGTCAGATAAACATAGGTGGAGCCTCCCACCTGGGGTGGGGGGCACCGGGAGCACCACATGAGTCCAAGCCAGCCACTATGATGCGGAACTCCCCTCTTCCTGTGGGGAATTAATCACTTCCCTTCCTCTCCTGTGCACTTCAGTGGGCAGCCAAGGCTGGATCCCCTGCCCCCAACAAAAGTGGACCAGCAACTTCAGGCTCCTCCCAGGCTGTATGGCAGGGGGGAAGGCCCTAATGACAAATCATTTGGGTCCCAGGGCCCCAAGAGGACACTGTTCTGTTCCGTATCTGTGCCTATCCTGGTTTTGAGCCTCCTGGCAAGTGACCTGAATCTTTGAGGCTGTGAGCATCATGAAAGAGCAACACCCAAGTGAAAGCCAACCCCTTCGCTGCTGAAGTGAATCAGAAGAGGTTTCTGTGGGGCGCGTCCAAGGAAGCCTGCTGTAGGAGGAGAAGCACTGGCACGGTTCAGCTCTGGCCAGGAAGGGGAGAGGAGGTACAGGCAGAGGCTGCTCAAGAAGGGCCTTCCTGCTTCAAGGGCCTCCTGACTGGCCTTTCCCACCAGGCTCACCACTGCTCAAGCCTTCTCCTCTGGAAAACACTTTTAACTCCTGCTTGTGGCTCCCGAAGTGGTGTCCTTCTGACTACACTATAGGTCCCTGACCTCTACCTCTGAAGTCCAGGAAACAGGTTACTAGAAGAGGTGGTGGTGGTGGGTGGGGGTAGCTGTCCGTCCTGATGTCCCTCCTAGCTGAGACTTTCCTTCTCTGTCCCTCACAGAAGATGGTGTGGCAGAGGCAAATGGCCTAGGGAGCTGCAAGCCACTGAAACACCTTCCTCTAAAAGTAGAAGCCAAATAAAGCAATTATGTTCAAAGTATGATTCCCTGCCTGGATGTTGATTCTCAATCTAATCACCACCTCTATCCCTACAAATAAGCACCACCGGCTGTGAATTCCTGTGTCACTGAAGACAGGTAACAACTAGCTGGCTAAACGTACACAGATCTGAATGAGCTGTTGCAGGGGTAAAAATGGTTTATGTGATGGGGATCCTTCCTCTGAAGAGCACCCCACACTCTCATCAGTCTATCAGAACAGCAGCTCCCCGGGAGCAGAGGAGGCTGACAGGTCACGGTGAGACAGAGCTGCCTTCTCAGGTGGAAGTAACTGCAGCGTCTCGGGCCTGTTTGCCTGCGATCCTGCTTACCCATTCCCTCCAATGCCAGGTTCCTGCCTTCATCACGAAATGAAAGCCCAATGACCCAGAAATAATTTGAACAAACCTATTTCACTGAGGACGCTCTCATTTTTATCTTCATTAACTCTTTGGTTCCTGTCAAATATGTTGAAAGCAGGATTTATGTTTTATCTGCAAGCTCTAGAGGATCCTAACATGTAGACAATTTGTGCACTTAATGGAGGCAGAAAATATTGCATGTTGTGTAGACAGATACCTTTTATATAAAGAAAATTGCTTTCTTTTTCTATCAATAGAACACTGTATTATTTCATTCCCTTTATATTTTAGCAGAAAGAATTTTATAGAAAAGTAGCACGTTATCCAGATGAACTTCACTAATGTTTTTCTCACCAATGAAACACTGCACGCTTAACAAGCCCACATCCTTTCCATCCTTAGGAGAAAAACACGAAATAAGCACATTAAGGCACACACAATAAGCCTGTTCTTCTAGGATGAATGGCTTGATGAATAGCAGGCCATCTGGGTGACTGGCTATTTGTAAGATTTCACTCAAGTAAAATGCGAAAATGGGGAGTGCACCCTGGGCCCCAAGGCGGCAGCCAGTGACCAGACACGGAGCCTCAGCTCTCAACCGGCAAATCCTGCCACCCACGAAAGGTGGTGGTTCCTGAAAAACCATACGCAGGGAAGGGCCCCTCAGCACCTGCTGCTGTATGGAATGGCAGGAACCCTTGTTGCGGAGGCCCAGGCATCTCTGGCTAGCTGTATGATTTTGCGTTTCCAGCCCACTGTATTTCTGAAACACAAAGTCTCTGGTGAATTTATGAAAATTCAAACATCGGGGGCGAGATTATGAAGCCAACCTGCCTGGAGCAAACCCAACTCAGAAAGAACAAAACCAGAAGCCATTGGTGACAAGGCCTTCTTCAAACACAGAAGAATTTCATCAATGAGTCCCATGAAAGCTGGTTCTGTTTTAAAGAGTATTTTCTTGGATTGTAGGATCCAATAGCTAAACAGTATTCCTATCTCATGCAACTCTTGGGAACAAAGAAAACGTAGTCACCACAGTACTGTCAGGGACAGGTCTGCAAATGAACTGACTGGAGGGCTCACTGTGTCTTTCCACTTGGGTTAACTCTTGCATGGGCCTGCAAATTCTGTTCAAAGGCAAGGTTTCAACATGTAGAATGGTTAGCCTATAGAATGAAATTAAAAAACAAAACATGCTGTTTACCATCAAACTGGGATCTAATCTCCAGTCTATAGATCCTACCACACAGGATCAGAGAGTTAATTTTGAAGGCAATTTTTCTTCCACATGTCGCCACAAATAGTCAAGCAGCTCTTACCAGAAGCATAGCTGATGTCCCATTGGGCCTGGATAAGTGGATGGACATCTCAGGAAACATCCTGTCAATGCGGCTGATCACGTCGTCCACATATCTAGGTGAGAATCAGAAACACATGCATGTGAACTAGAACCCTGGCAAAGGACTATAAGCCCACAGTGGACTAAGACTTGGCTTTTAATTTAACAAACAACAACAAAATGTTTTGAATGCTCATTCTGAACTATTCATCTTATGCCATGGTCTATTAGCTTTCTTCAACAGGGGTGGGAGTTCAGCTGTGCCACCTTCCAGGCCACTGGGCTCTAGGAGGCAGCCTCCACCGTCTGTCCTTCCAGTCCAGCTGGCCACAGCTTCCTGCTATTGCCCGTCTCTGGGCTGCCCACCACCACCCAGATAGCCAAATCCCTTGAATTAAATTCCTCTGTTTTAAATACCCAAAGTCATTCCTGTTTCCTCAGTTGTGTTCTGATTTAAAATCACAGCATACCACAAGTTCTGCTTAAATCAGTACTCTGTGTTACATTCCAAAATTTCTGCTTATAATTTTGAAAAAAGCTGAGCCACACAGTGGCTTATGAGTACATTTATTTACTTGCACAGACTTCTGTTTTACTAGATCTATGTTTTGTCTTGGTTTGGTTAGTTTTTCATTTGCCTATTATGATTTTATTCCTAAACTCTTTTTTTAAAAAACATTTATTTTTTAGCTTTAGGTGGACACAATATCTTTATTTTCACATGGTGCTGAGGTTTGAACCTTGTGCCTGATACATGCTAGGTGAGCACTCTATCTTTGAGCCACAACCCCAGCGCCCCCAAACTCTTTTTCTAAAAAAATATTTTGTCTAGTTGCCAATGGATATTTATTTATTTATTTGTGGTGCTGAGGTGCTGAGGATCAAACTCAGGACCTCACACATGCCAGGCAAGCACTCTCCACTGAGCCACAACTCCTGTCCCCTTCTTTGACCCTAAAACCTCTCTCACTACAACCAAATATACCAGACAAGCATCAGTTCAATTTTTATTCCATTAACAGGGAGTCCTGTTCTTCTGGTCCAAGCAAAACCTGTATCTGGAGAGGATTAATAATCACTGAGACCACAACATTAAGCACTTGGCATGGCATCTAGTACATATTAAGTCCTCAAAGATTTTGAGTGCTCTTGCTGGCAGTTCTGCTACACCATGGGCCTAGTCTGCAAACGTGCTCTCTTGGTGGGATGAGTTCTCTGCTCTGGAGGCTCACTGTGGGGATGCCACCCACAGCATAAACACAGCCGGTCTGGCTCAGTCCCTGGAGAACAAAATCATACGAGTATTTGTGCTCACCAGGCAATCACACTGGGCACAAGGGCATGTACAATATAATAGCTGAGATGCAAAACTATCTATTAAGGCTTTGGCATTGGATTTCCTATCCGTTAGTTATGACAAATTAAATCACGTGTCCATTAAGTCAGGGACATGTAAAAGGCATACTCTGAGGGAAGGAGGAATAAGCCCTGCGCTGACAACATGAGAGGACTGCAGTTAGAGCTGGGCTCCTGGGGGAGGGCAGGCAGCATGATGTCCTTTGTTGAAAAGTGAACCCCAGCATACCCAGGACAGAGCGTAGAAAGGGATCCTGCCAATGCAGCCGGCGGGCTTCCTTACTGCACAGGACAGCTGGAGAAGGAGGGGAGCCAACCAGGACAGCGAGCAGATGGGAGCCAAGGGGCATGCATGAGAGGCAGTGGAGGTGCAGAGGGCACAGGCTCTGGAGCGAAGAAGAAGGAGACTACGCAGTTCTCCTCAAGTACACAACGGCTTCTGTGATCAGGAGCAACGGCTCTCTCCCTGCTCTCGAAGGGCTCACAACGTGAGAACGAGGCATGGAGAGGTGAGTGTTTCCTAAAGGTGAGGCCTCACTCCTGGGTGGCTAAGAAACTGACTGACCAGGACCCCACCTGCTGTCTCTGGAGTCCCCACCTAGACTCACAGCCCATGGCATACAGCCTTGGGCACAAGCTTAGAAGCCACCAAAAATGTGAATAGAGGAAGAAAGGAGGCAATCAACTCCTTTTCACCACTGCCCAACATCTGCTCCAAGGACAGAAGACACATGACAAAAACTCCATGCCAAGAGTTTATACCAGGTCACGGGAAACATTCTCACAGTTCTGTACTCCTTTTCTAAATCTGTGGGTGGTTTAAACCCAGTTTCTTCAGACTCAGCAGGAAGCAGAAGTCCACTGTCCTGTGTGAATGGAGGTCACTGCTAAGTCTATGCTAATGGGGAAAGGGGGAGGCAGGCATACTGAACTGACCCTCAATCGATAGCCATCATAGCTCTGGACAAGTGGAAAGCAAATGAATATGCAGAAGTTCAGCACAAAGGCAACATCATAATTTGCTTTCTCCTGTGCCTTTCACCTTGAAGACTTTGGAATACACGCTGGAAACCACCATCTCTTTAGGAAAATGGGAACTGGTAGGTTATGTGACAAGAACCTAGAAGGAAAGCCCAGCGTGTAGGTTTCCAGAATTCCACACCAACTCCCTGACTCTGCTTGCCTTTTCAGCAAGGGCCAGGGTTCTGACGGGGCAGGTCTCAAATGCTCCCTGCCATTCCTGGATTCCTTTACTTGGAAGATCTTATCTATGAGAGAAGGCAGCGGCAGGAGAAAACCAGTTCCTAGGAAAAGTATCTGCAGTGAGCACCAGGAAAGCAGAGAGGTCTGGGTTGGTTCTCCCCCCAACTGGTGACTTAGATAATGCCCAGCAAACTTGATTCAAAGACTGCATTAGGCAAGAGTGAATTTTAAGGAGACTGCTTTTCATTCACATGCCTGACATAAAGGAGATGTAAATTTCTTTGTTATAGGTGACATTATGTGTTGGCTAAAAAGAGGAGGAGAGAAAGTCAGCTGCACCTTTAGCTGAGGAAAACAATGTCGAAATTTTAGAAGCAAAAATCAAAACACTTCATTTTAAAATAGACACAGACTCTGAAACACAAATCTACCACTAGTGACTTGTCAGAAATAAGGAAAGCTCGGAACGTCAAATTCAAAGTCTGGAGACAAAAATGGCACCTTCTTCTTGCTGGGGGTGCAGGCTGGCCAGGGAGGTGGCCTTGGCAGCACTTCCCAGAACTGCCCCCGGGGGCGGTGCGCGTCTGCACAGAGCCCGCAGCACCCGCTGCGAGAGCAGGGCTGAGGACAGGTAGGAACAGCGTGCTCCCCTCCCACACTGCCACCATATGTCACACTCCGTTCTGTGGCAGAATCAAATTACTTTAATTTTTACCTTTGGAATATAGGCAAACAAGCAGTAACACAGCAGTGGTGACTAGTTTACACTTGAGCAGACGCGGCGCGGAAAGACATTAATTTAGTGCCAAATTGAGCAGTGAGTCACAATTTGCACATATCTGTCAACCTGTTAACAGGGTAATAACTTGGAAAGATTGCTGTTCCTATTTACATTACAGGAGCCTTTCGAAAATGGAGAGCTGCTTGGTTCTCCTTCTTGAAGCACTCAGCTCATAAGCTGGTTTGACAGTCTAAGAACCAGGATAGAAACACAAACTTCTAGAAATCACAGGTTTGGATCAAGGTGTGATTCATAACTTCAGTATTTTCAGTCAAAAAATTAAGTCTAAAGCAACCAGAGTCCTGTTTCCCCGCCCTGCTAAGTATGGTCAAAAGGTTTCTGACTCAATCTTTGCCAGGACAGACAGACCTGCTCTACTGAAGTTTCCAATGGTTTCCTGGGACTGAGCTTCAGTCTCTGCTGTATCAGAAACAACCACACCATTCTCAGACCCTAATGTTGATTTCTGTACCCCTGTAAGTCTTGTTCTCTTCTGATTTTCTTCAAGAAGCTCAGCTTGTTCCAGAAAGGGCCTTAATCAGAGAATTAAAGAACAGGACCTAGAGGTCCCCTTGCCCAAAGTCCCCTCCGATCTAGGCCTTCAGCAGTGCCTCCAAGAGGTGGTCTGTGTAGGTGCACCATAACACCACCCCTAAGGCCTCATCCTGCTGGATGGCCAGGTTGTTTGGAAGCCACTCGCCACTGTCGTCACCCAGTTCTCTCATTTCTACTTGCAGGGAATACACTTAAATATTTCCTCGGGGGGGGGGGGGGGGTATGTTTGGCAAATACATAAAAGACTCTTGGGTTTTCAATTTCTTTCAACAGTGGCTTTATTTATTTATTTATTAGATTGATTTTATTTTTTTAAATACACAACAGCAGAATGCATTACAATTCTTACTACACATATAGAGCACAATTTTTCATATCTTTGTATATGATATGAAACCTCCTTGGGTCCCAAATCCCACGGAGAAGGTACTGAAAATGAACATGCATCTGCAGGAAGTCTGTACTCCAACTCCCTGCCACTCACAGATCCCAGTGTCCGTGTGTGGATCTCATGTTAAGTGCCCTTGCCCAATCTTTCCAGAACCCAGGTCTCTGGTGTTTTCTTCTTGTTGCTTTCTGAATAGTTTTTGTTTTGTTTTGTCCCCTGCTACCTCCCCTAGTGAGGATATTTTCATGCTGGCAGGGTGGGGTGGGGGTGCAGGTGCCTGTGCACGCATGCATCCATCTATCCATCTCTCTATCTCTCCATCCATCCACCCACCTATCTATCTATCCATCCATCCATCCACCCACCCATCCATCCGTTTATCTTGGTTGCAGCCTAGAAGTGAACACAACTGAACTGGGAGAGGGTATAGTAAATCTAACAGTCCTGGTAATCTTAAAATCATGTTTCCATGATGGAGTCCTTAGGTTAGTTTTATTTATCTTGAATTAGCAAATAAAACTTATATATATTTATCCTATATAATGTGTCCTGAAATACATGTACACTGTGGAATGGCTATAACAAGTGAATTCACACATGCATTACCTCACATACTTACCATTTTGTGCGCATGGTGAGATTAATTAAGATCTATTCTCTCAGCAATTTTTAAGAATACAATACATTGTTATTAACTACGGTCACTATGTTGTACAAGTGATTTCCTGAACTTGCTTCCTCCTAGCTGAAATTCTGTATCCTCTGGACCACATCTTCCCACCCCAACCCCC